AGGAGCTTTTAATGAAGGTCGTTGATTGCCTCCAGTGCTACCTTCCGCTTCACTAGCCTGAGAAGGTGGTACTCTATTTTGTTCATACAACTCTAGCAACTGATTGCTGACTTCTGCAAGGAATAAAGTCTCTAGTCAAAAAGGAAATATCTCTAATTAATTCAGAATTTAATGTGCAATGAAATTATAGCATTCCTATTATATACATCATCCCTCGACTTCCCTAATTTCAGTGAGAAATCAAATTTAATTCAAAACACAATCTTTAAAAAATAAAAAATAAAATTAATCCTGCATTCTAGCTAGGTGAGACTGCAATTACAAAAACATGATATTGATACTATCTCAAGACCACGACCCTGATCTGCATGCTGCTGTCCAAGGGAAATCTAAACACAGACCCTCCAATTGGCGTGGAGTGACATCAAACTCCTGCCACCAAACCTTCTCACCATCAGAAGGGAGCTTCACCTTGAGGAACTTGGCAGCAAGAAAAATAGCACCTGCTGCAATGTGGTGGGGCTTAAACTGCAAGCATAGAGAAGTCCGAAGCCTGCATGCCGCTTTCCCGTGTCAAAAAGAGAGGAGGAAAAATTGCCCAACGATCGGCACTATATCAGAACTATAACAAGCAAATATACCATACCCATCATTAACAAAATTCCGTGCAACTTGAGCTATAGCATTTTGAGCAACCTCAAATTTTTTTATTGCCTCAACAAGGGGTTTATATGGATGGAGTACATTGAGATCAAAAGCTAGAGTTCCAAGAATAACCCTCTCTCCCAATAAAATAAGTTCTTTTTGTTGTTCGTATACCTCCTGCAAGGGATACAACAATAACAAATAACATAGACAGTACAAAAACTTCAAACATTTCATGAAGATCAAGCTCAAGTAATAGTACCCCCAGTAAGAGAATCAATGGTAAATACCATTCCAGATCGAAATAGATAATAATGTTACGTACCATAGAAAATCATTATACACTAACTCGTCACAATACAATTTTCTTTAGCAATACGCCTCTAGAAATAAAAAAGGTCCAAACTCACGAGAAATAGGAACCAGACCCAGTAGCAGTATAGCCAATATCAGAGATAATGAGTACAACAACAAAGAACACACCTTTTGCTTGATCCTTTGCACAGCTGCAGGATCCTTCTTATGAATGATTTCATATGACACTAGTATGATATCTTTCAGAGGTCGAGGAGTTTCTTCAACTTTGCCAGCAAGGAACATACATACCGCGGCAATCGTCTGCAAAAAGAGCACAAGAATCACGCACAAACTATCAATTGTGCAAGCTCACTATCATAATTTTATTGTGATTTTAACAATCAAATTATGACGAATTCAATAAAAAGGCACAAAAGATACAAAAGATTAAATTACGTTATTTAATAAGAGCTAAGATAAATATATCATTTGTAAAATTAATGCAGCATTATTGTAAATATTTAAAAAAATTAATTATTGTATGGAACCGAATGGAATCGAACCCGAACGGTTTCACAATTAAATTTGGATCCGACGTTCAATTTACTAAATATCCAAAATTTCGAGTTTAGTTCAATTCTAAATAGAACTGAACCGGACCATGTCTAGCCCTATTAAGAAGGGTGAGGAAGAAAAAGAGAGAACAAGAAGCACCAAGTTTTTAAAGTTTAAACCGCAGCTTAGTATTCCACTGTCCTAAAAATATTAGATCAAAATTTCCATTTTGAAAATGAAAATACGTTTAGCCTTACAAAGTTATTCTAACATTAATTTCTTTTATTTGATTTATTGATATGTAAAGTTCTTAATAGTAGCCTTATGATATTTCAGATCTTAAAACTGGAAAAAAAAAATGGAATATGATGAAATACACCATAAAGGAATCAAAACCTTAACAAAATTAAAATTATGTGAGTTAAGGATTCTTATGTAATGATTTAAAAACTGCTAATTGAGAACATGTTCTTAATCATCCAATATCATTTTCATTTCATATTTTAAATATAGCTCACACAATAACTTCATCAAATAATTACCCAAAAAACTTAAATAAATAAATTGTTCTTTGTCCTCAAAATATGCAAAACTAGGACAAATAGAATCCTGAGTCATAATTTTTTAATGGAAGTAGGAAGGCAAGGAAATGTAAAAGAAAAACTGAGAAACAAAACAAGAAGACTTGGTAAGTAGAGTAACTGCAGTGCTGTGTTGCAACTGTAGCTGGCGAGTTTCTACTGTTAAATGAACAGTGTATACAGACCCCAATACGTACATAGTAGCTTTTTATTCGAACCCTTTTATTTTCATAATTCATCTTTTAACAAGTCAATCAGATGTACATCGTTTATAGATTTCTTGGGGTTTCTACTTTCCTTGTTTTTCTCCTCTTGTTTTTGGGGGAGCCTCTATGTGATGTTCATATGTTTTTGAACACTTCCTATTGAAACCAATCATCTTCGGGGAACAAAACAACGATAAGAGGACATAGAAAAACATGAAATACAAGTGCAAGTGCAGATAATCATACAAGAACAAGATGCAAATGAGTCATAGGAGCGGTTGGACCAAGGTAGAACTCAAAAATGGAGTAGCTTTTGATCCTGGAGTATTTAGGCAACCCATGGCAAGCCTTTCTCATGTAGAATTGGGCCTTCCAGATTGGAGCTTTTTTAGGCTCAGAAAATGAGCTTTTTGTAGGGTGTCTCAGTGATTTTGGCCACCTAAGATTACACTATATATATGATGTTAATTCATGCTTTTGAGCAGTTGTCGACTGTTGATAAATANTTTTTTTAGTTCCCTATGCACGGATAGTATAAATGCAACTGTTGTTATTTTTCATTTATAAAATATAAGTACCACATCCATCCAACGGCAACACCTCTATAAATCTATGATGCAACTCAGAATGAAATCAACCAGGATAGGAATGTGACAACATAGAACCTCAAGAAGAAAGAAAAGGATCTACCATCACACATCAAAATCTAACATGAAGATTTTTCTAAGTCTAGATATGACACCAAAATCACACCATATGGCCATGCATAACATTATGCATGAAAAATCTTGCACATATCTTCTCAAAGAAAAGAGTCAGATCATCTTCAGAAAACATCTTGAGATTTCTATCTGGAAAACACTGCTGCAGTAAGTCAGCCTGTAATGGGGAATTAGGAAAGTTCATGATGATTAAAAAAATTTGTTTCCCTGATTTTATTGCACAAACTACAAAAAAAACAAATAGTTGGTTAAATGTTTCATTCTCAATAGCTCCTGCAATTTCCAAAAAAAAACTTATGGTGGTCTGCAAGTTAGTTTGAAATCATGACAAACTGGATAATCAATTTTCTTTCTAATTCCAGACAGGTCATAACCTGGTTCACATAATTCGTACAGGTAGGATAGCTCTCCGGATAACTCGTGCAGACCAGCAACAGTGTTGTAGTCAGTTGAAGGGGTATAGGTTTTGTCCTTACTCGATTCCATCTTAGTTAGAAGAGGCCCCACTCAGGTTGCAAACTTTCTAGAGGAGTCAAGGATGTTATAATTATGGAGGAGGAGAAACGTTAAGGTTTATCAGAAAAAATGCTTGTCTTCCAAAAATAGAATGGGATTTTTGTGAAGTTGATCATTACGAGTGTTATTACATATTTGATAGGGAGGTTCACTGGCAAAAACACGGTGATTACTTGTTTAGTATGAATCTGTTAAATGACCATCCATAGAAATATCCAACAAGCTCTAGGGAAGACAGTCGAAGATGAAAATTAGTGGAATATGAGGATATGTGATCAAGGAGTCTCAACCAGAGAAGGAAGCAGTGAATGAACAGTACAGAAGATGGCGATGATAAAGACCTGGCATTGATGGAGAAGTCATCAGTAACTAAAAAAAAAAAAAAGCACAGAAATAGAAAAGAAAATGGTAAAAAAGGAGAAATGGAGAAAAGAAAGTGCAGCAGCTGGAGCAGGAAGTAAGGATTTCGATGAGTTCAGTGGAATATTAGGATGTGATCAAGGAGTCTCAACCAGAGAAGGAAGGAAGCAGTGAATGAACTGAAAGACGTCAGCGATGGCAGAGACCTGACATTGATGGAGAAGTTATCAGTAAAAAAAACCAAAAAAAAACAAAAATGCCGAGAATTTCAGAAGGAAAAGGAGAAATAAAGGAAACAAGGCGAAATGGGGAAAAGAAAAAGCAGTGGCCGGAGTGGGAAGTAAGGGTTTCATAGAGTTTATATCTATATTTCATCTTTCTTAGGATCAAATTTTTTTAGGAGAGTGAAAAGGATGAGGGAAAAGTCAGAAAACCAAAGGCATAGTTGCCAGCTTTAGTTTCCTACCAAACTCAGAAAGCAAGAAATTTTATGTTAGATTTTAGTTACATGACAAAAATATCCTACTAGATTGGGTGCTTGTAACTATTATCATGCTACGTAATCACTGAGTCTACATCAGCATCAGACTATAAGATTTATTAGCTATTGATGAAATAAATATGAAGTGAAAGAAAACACTTACCCTCCTATCATTTTTTGCATGGGACTGAAGCTGGAAGAAACGATGACAAAAGATTATTGCTGTAGCAATGGTTACCTGAGGCCTGCATCATAAAGCATACATCATTGTATTGAGGAAAAAAAATTGTATAGCTTTGATATAGTTAAGGGAAAAACTAAAGTGCAGCAAAATATTACTAAAGGGGTGTTGAAGGATGGATGAATATATATTGACATCATATTTTGATGGAGCTTGATATGTTAGATATACAAAATTCTGAACTATGTAGCACGGACACTCTAACTAGGGTAGCGTGTCCGTGTCCGACACGTGTCGGATACGTGTCGATACCGACACTCTTCAGACACTCTACAATAATCATTTTTCTTTCTTACTATAACTATTATATATTTTTAACTCAAAGTTTTTAATAAATAACAAATAAGTACTCATATTTAAAAGATTTCAACAAAAAAGAATCAATAATAAGTATAAAACTAAATTGAAACTATATAAATGAAGAATTTTAAAAATTTAATGAACGTGTCGACGACTTGTCGTGTCAGTACTTTTTTGAAAAACCACGAGTCGATGTATCCGACACGTATCGTGTCGGACACACGTGTCCGTGTCGGTGCATCATAGATTCTGAACATACCCACATGCATAAATTACATATTATCCCTTAACTTTCTTATTTTGTGGGTCAACTTATACAGCATAAATTCACAGGCTGTCAACTCTGGGTTTGGATCCAATTATCATCCATATTAATATTCCAATGTACATGATGATGCGTGTCGTGCGAATTTTAATCATCAAGTATTTCTCAACATGTCTCTAGCATGGAAGGTACCTCATTTCTCAGCATAATCAAAAGTAAACCAAAACTGCAAGATATAATAGAAGTGAATTCTAAAGCTGTTACAGATAAAATAATAATAGAAATCGCAGTTCAGAAATTGACATGCAAAACAATGCAAAATATTGCATCCATACAAGAGACAGAAAAAATGAAATAAATCATATACCATCCAAGCAACAAGGCTTACACTTTCAGCCTCATGCCTAGGTCTTGTAAAAAAGTACAGTATGACTTGCGTAGGTAAGTCTCTTTCTTCAAATCAATGCCATCACGTCTAGAAGGAGAATTTTCTTCAATTTCCTCCCTAGAGAAATACCAGCGGTCACCACCTTCTTGTGGCTTGTCCTCATAAATCCTATGATTTACGTCATGGACTCCATGACGAGAAGGCTCACCAGACAACAAACCAACCATTTCTAACTCCTTTCTCACACAAAAGTTATCAATAATTGATAAACAAGATCAGTCAAGGTAACAAAATATGTTCACACATCATCCATCAACGTCCTGTCAGCACACTAACAAAAGAAGCAAAAATTAATACATTAAACAATCTCACTTGAAAAAAAGGAAAAACGTATGGCATGAACAAACAGAAGGAAGCATGAATCCTTCACAAGTAAGAATAGAAGGCATTCAAAAATTCAAATTTATTCGCTAAATGAATAACAGACATATTCAATTTCATTCACAAATACATACACCTGATAAGTGCAATTTGTGTATTTATTTATGCCACATTATTAAACTTTTAAGTCGTTAATTTATTAATTTTTATCTAACTTAGGTTAACTTTCATTGTGTTTTTAGTGATGGACTAGTTTGAAGCATTTGGAAAAGAATAAAGGATTAATTGGCCATTTGATGAAAAGTTTGGAGATCATATTTCATACTTTGAAAGTTGAGGACTTGAAGAAAAATAATTTAATAATTGGGCCTCAATTGGACCTTGAACTGGAAGCAAATTGTACAAGTGGTTGAACCTTTAATTGGACTCGAACTCAAAGTGCCCTTGAGGATTGACTTTATAGACATTAAAAAAGGGCAATTGAGGAATTGGAGAGAATTCTTTGCGGAGTAAAACATTGGGCTGCGTGCAAATTGGAAGAGAATTGGAGTTCTTTTGTTAATCAAATGGGGCCTGATTTTATATATTGACACATACAGAAGCCGGCAGCTTGGAGAGTGGAATTAAAAGAAACGTTGCAGCTGACTTGGACTCTAACAAACAAATAAAAGTGGGCTGTTGGGCTGTTGGTTAATATATATACACACACAGATATATTACACACACACACAAAAAAAAAAAAAGGAAGAGGGGAGATTAACCTAGCAAAAAGAGGGGGGGACGGCTGGGAATTTCACAAAAAAGGGGAGATTATTACACGCCAACTGGGGGGGAATTAAGAAGGCAGCAACTTGAAGGAAGAAAAGAAAACAGTTGGGCA